CCCTCCCCAGCGGGGATGTCAATGCATGCGGCCCTAAGTGTAGTAGCGCCAACAACCTCAACTGCTTGGACCCCCACAGCAATGATTAAGTTCTTCCCTTAAGTATCCTCATAAGAGGGTTCTGACATACAAGACAATATTAAACTTTTATTGTGCGCCAATCACGATAACATAAATCTTAATAAAAAGGCATGAGTCACTCAATTATGTTGAAGAAAGACGAAACAATTATGACTAGAATATGCACTGAAGATCAACTGAGAGATCAGTCAGTTAAAAAAAAAATCATCATTTGCGGTTAAATATTAACGTACAATTAAATCATGACTTGGTTGATGTGGTCGTGACAACTTCGACCAGTACAGCCAGAACAGGGGTGCTGAGACGAGCAGACAAGCTGTGTTCAGCAGATGCTAAGTACAACAAATGTAAAAAATCCTAGCTTGAGATCATTCTTGCAAAATATTGCTGGATAGTTAACTTAGCAACGTCTTCAACTTCGCAGCATTTCGTTCCCTCAAAAAGAAAGATTAGGCAGAACATTAATCCAAAACCCTATATTACCTTTTACCGCTTCTGGTACGAGGCCTTGGGGCAGTCGAAGTTGCACCCAAATCTGTTTTATACGAATAAAATAGTGGAATTGACTGGTTCTCGTCGAGCTAAAAAATTTGAAAATTTTCAGTCTAAAAGATTAAGAATTCTCGATCAATTCTCTACCTGGTATGGTTGTATAGGAAGAGGTGCCGAAGCTCGCATATTGTTACCGGTATAAGCAATGGCATTCAACTGCCAATCGCCCATTTCTTCGCTCCAGCTCACATATTTTTCAATGAGTTCAACATAATCGGGAGGAATGTACTCATCGATGATTGTCATATTCAAGAGCAACTCCTGTAAGCAAAATCATCGGTGGACGAAAAATAGGAAAAATGCAAGTTGTTATGACTCGTATGTTGCAAATTTCCCATTACGCTTTAATTTAATGGAACAGGCGGCTGGAACGACGACCGCCCGCACCCGCGCCGCATCTGCGTCTCTTCCGCGCGCATGCT